CCGTCTATTCAGCTTCTATTAATTGCTTTACATCTTGATAACTGATCACCTTTTCCTGCTTATTTGCATGACTAATGAGCCATTCTATGGTGTGCTGCTCTCTGATGCATTTTAGGGGCTCCCGACCTTTGTCTAAAGAGTAAGCCCTTTGGCAATGGGGCATTTCAGCAGAGAGGGCTCTCAATACAGCACCCATGGCTAACTGGCACTTGCACTTCCTTCCTCTTCTCCCCTCTCCCCGCAATGAGGGTCACAGAGCAAGATTAGACTCAGATTAGAGCTCATCATAGACTCAGGAGACAGCTAGGCCATTTTCCTCATTGAACACTTAGTGAAATTAAATCCCAGAGAGGAAAAGAGACTTACCCAAAGTCAGAGTGAGGGAGGATAATGGACTACGAGCTCGGACTCCTGCTTCCAGCCCTGGTGTTTCCCCCATGTGAGGGTCTCCTGCCTTTTCCTAGGCTTACTGCTACCCTGTTCCCTCTATTCTGTTTCAGCTGAGTCATTTACATCTCACCTATTAGGTTGCAAGTTACCCGACACAGATCTGTGGGAATGGAAGCCGCAGTCATGGATTCAGGGCCCAACTTTACTTCTTATGAACCAGAGGGCACTGGACTTTCCCCAACCGTGTCCCCCAGCACAGAAGACTCCTTCCTACCTGAGGGCCTCAGTTCACCACCTGACAAATGAGGCCCTGATGGCTACAAGCCTTTGACAGCCCTTCCGTCAATCAGGAAGGCACATGTGGCTATGTCCAGTCTACGCAGGGGTCAGGAGTCAGGCTGGAACATCGTAGCAACTCTTTGTACCATCAGAGCCAGTGACCAGAACTGATAACTATTTGGCCTATCTGCAACTCCCCAGGAAGGAGTCAGTCATTCTGAGCAAGATGAGGACTGAGAACATCTAGTCACTCCAAACCCTCTGCATACGTAACTCATAAACATATGTCCCCCAATGAGGTGCCCTTTGTCTTCATTCCCACTCTAAGCCACATCACATGCTAACCCTTACATTTCCTATGTTATTCTCCTATCCTTCCTTCTACATCCACTTCCACAGTCTCCTCCATGGCCCAGATTCTGGTCCTTTCTGGCGTGAGTGCTGTAGTGGCCTCCCTGCTGGTATTCACTTATGCATCCTGGCCTCATCTCCATCCATCTGTTCTCCATTGTAGGGAAGCACCATGTTTTCAAAATTCTCATCAAAATCACCACTTCATTTTTCTTGTAGCTCTTTAAATAAAGACTCTGTCTTTAAAACATCTCACGGTGTCTGCAAGCATCTGCCTTGTATGGCCCTGAAGATTTCCCAGCGTCCTTTAACTTGCCAGACTTCTGCCTCTTGAACACACCACACCTCCTCTGCCACAAGCACTACCCAGAGCTGATCCTTGGGACTCTCTCAGATTTGTTCCTGGTGTGATAGACATCCCCTCTCCCATTCTGGGGCTGCCCAGGACTCATCTCAAAGCTGAAAGAGAACATTTTGTTCTAAAACACATACTAGAATTTTAACATGCCCCTCACCATACTTGACCTGACCTCTTAGTAAATGAGTATGTGACTGATTGACTGAATGAATGAATGAATGAGTGAAAGGCTGGGAGAACTACCACAAACTTGGGGTTCATATCTATAGCCCAAAACATGCTCATGCCTATGTCTGCACATATGGTCTTGGGGCTGGGTGAGTCCTAATCCAGCTGTCTGGCCTGAATTCTAGTGGGACACTCATGGGCAGCACTATATCAATTACAAGTCATCAATAATGCATTGTCTCAGAGTGGCCTAGGAAGCCATTAGCTGAGCCTGCTGGCCCTGATGAGCAGCCTTGGAGAAAGTGGGCTGGGTGTGCCCGTGGTAGTCCAGGTCAACCTCGGGAGGAGGGACTCCCTGACCCAGCAGAGCTCAGAAGGCTTGCCTTGGAGGCCCTCTGTGCCCTCTGAGACCTGTCAGCAGAGGGGTGACTTGAATCCTCTCCTTGTCGTGAGCCAGCCTCACTTTCTCACCCTTAGAGACCTGTAGCCCCACTTGAATGCTGGGTTGTTAAGTTCCAGAGTCTGAGCCTAGTCTGAAAACAGTGCAGGTTGAGTCTGTGTCCAGGATTGGTCTCAGTGCGTGACCAAGGTCAGAGCTCTCAGGTGTTCAAGTTGAACACCTGGCATTCAAGCTTCATGTGAGACCAGGGCCCAGGCTCAAGATATGACCAAGATCAGGGCTTAGTCTGTGACTAGTATGAGGGCTTAGTGTGACCAGAGTCAAGGCTCAGTCTTTGTCTCAGTTTTCTGGTAGGATTAAGGCTGTTTGTAACTAGAGTTAAGACCCAGTCAGAAAGCACAGAATTAAGCAAAATTGACTAGTTCATTCATTCATTTATTTTTTATCCTTCAACAATATGAATCAAGTGCCTTCAGGTACCAGTCAGTCAACAAAGCAGATAACACCACGGCTATTACTGGAATTATATTCCTCAGAGTGCCAGGGTGGACTGAGTTGTCCCTGACAGCCAGTTGTGCACATTTCTTCCCAGTTCTGCACGGCATTGTATTGGTGGCCTGAAATGAGTGTTGGTAGATCTTCTGAGGCCTCTGGGACCTGGCCAGCAGGGTGGTGGCTTAAATGAGACCTCCCTGAGATTAGCATCTATTGCTTATCACACCTTTATTTTTGTTCAGCAGCCTACCCTGGGGGTGAGAGAGAGGAAAATCAGTTGGCAGTCTTAAAGAAAATGGTGATTGGCCCCACTTATTTATCTGATCTCATTCTCCAAACTCCACTAAAATGATAGTAAAGAAAAAAAGTCATGTAGGAATTAAGAAGCTTTTTATTGAAGTCTTGTCGATTAGAGGAAAGAGGATAGAGATTCCAGTGGATTGAGGAGGATGGAGAGTGAGCAGAGTGGCAGATGTGTAAGTGACATGACTTCAGAGGAGGATGGTCAGGAAAATGGGCTTACGACCCCCTGGGGACCCTGGGAATCTGGGAGGAAGGTGAGGGGGGCTGAAAATCTAGATGCACAATAACTGAACCCCATTTGCCCCCTTCCAAACCCTGTGCGGCACTCCTGCACCTACAAGAGTCAAAGGTTTGTCCTCTGGAGAAGTGGAACCAGAGTGCTCCCCAGTGACTGGCGCTGCCTAGGCACTGGGGCAGAGGGCAGGGCTGAAAACAAGGTCCAGGAGAAGTCTTCCCGCCAAGGCCAGGCCCCTTTGCCCACTTCCCTCCTACTTCCAGCACAGAGGTGTGTCCTCAGACTGGAAAACTGACCCCAAAGACAATAGCTGTGAGCACTGACATGTGGTCCCACTGCCACTTTGCTACCTGCTCATTGTATGTATCCAAAGGGAAAAAAAAATAAACATAATGTCAAAAGGTGGTGAATATGATTCAGAGAATGCAAATGGGCTGATGTGATGCAGTGCCCGGGTCGCAGTTTAGGTGAACTGGGAGCAAAGGGAGCAGCTGGGGAAGTGGCCCTGAGACCAGCTCGCACTTGCTATGCTTAAGGAAATGGAAGAAGGTGAGTCTGGGGAGGCAAAGGCAGACAGGATGAGGTGAACAGGATGGAGGCAGGGCCAGAGAGATGGGGGCCTGCTTTGTAAACCAAAGGGAAAGCTTGGCTTTTCTCCTGATGGAGGTTTTTGGGAAAAGGGTGACATGGTCTGATTTAGGTTTTCAGGAACCCCTCTTTTTCTGCTGGAGAAGGGACAGAGTCTGTGGAAGCTGCATGGCTAGGTGGGAACTGGCAGTGGAAGTGGAAAGAAGCAGGGTGGTGGGGGTGAAGCTGCACTCTGGGGCAGTTTGGATCATGAGCTGAGGGAGGCGAGGGAGGGGATTAGTGTGGGACTCCAGCTAAAATGAGATGAAAATACCTCAGCCACAGCTTTGGGGAAACAGTAAAAAATGCTATTTGGACCAGGTAGACCAATTCTGTGGGGTAGTCAGATAGGAGTTGGGAGTCTCACGCTCCAGGGAGGGATCAGGAATGGTGATTGAGTCTAATCAGTAAGTAGGTAACCTACATAGGAAACCCAAGGCCTGGGTCTCTCTGGATCTCTTTCTTCCCCTACACCCCCAAGTCAGACTCAGGTTGTGCAATGCATGCTTGTGCCACGAGATGGCAGTAAAGCCATCCTTCCTCCCTTCCACCCCTCCCCCCAGCCTCCTCCCCAAAGTCCACAGCTGGGCCCTTCAAGGTCAGACCCAGGCTTTGCCAGGAAGATTCCAGAGTGTGAACATCTATCTCAGCCACAAATCCAAGGGTATTTGGAAGCCTCCCTAAGAGGCCCTGCCCCCAAATTAACCAAAATCAAAATGTGTGCATCTTTTTACAAAGCCTTTATATAGCACCCAAGTCTTTAAAGAGGTGGAAACTCCTACATAAGCCTTATTTTATAGAAGAGGAAACTGAGGCCCGTGGCCAGTAAGCCACAGAGCTGGGACTCCAGCAGATCCTTTGTGAGTAGTAGCTCCATTCAGAACAGTTCCTAGAATAGAGGGTAGAGAATATTGCTGGGGGTTCAAATGGACCAGGGTGTTCACAGGTGGCTTTCCAGACCTCCGGTACAGATGGGGGGAGGGGGGAAGAGTTGGGTATGGAGGTGGGGGTGGGTTATGTGTGTGTACCTGTCTTCCTCATGACCAGTGGAAGACACTGGCGCTAAGACCTTCACTTTCCCCTGGGTTGCACATCTGGGCAAGTAGCTTGAATCGGATTGCAGTCCAGATTCCCTGCCTCCAGTTCAGTGTTCTTCCTACCCTGTCCTCGCAGGAGGGCCACACACCCAGGCTTCAGACTTGAGACCCAGGAACACACTCCATCTCATGCACAGACACCCTGGTGGTCCAGGATCCCTGGAGCCCTGCAAGGCCGGCAAGTCCCTCCTGCGGCCCTCCCTCGGGTACTTCTCCCGGATCCCCTCCGTGGGCCCTATCCACGAGGCCTGCCACAGGGCGCCCCCACCCTGTCCCCAGCCCCCTCTCCTCTTGCAGTTCGAGATCCGGCAGCTGCGGGCGCACCTGGCGCAGCAGGACCTGGACCTGGCAGCGGAGCGCGAAGCAGCGCTGCGGACCCCGCACGTGCTCAGCCAGCCCCGCAGCGGGTACCAGGTGGTAGAGGCCGGAGCGTGGGCGGAGGAGAGCGCGGCCGCGGGCGCGAGCGGGCGCGAGGTGGAGCGGCGGAGGCCGCAGGAGCCGGGGGAGCCAGGTGAGCCCACCTCCCGCCCGCCCTCACTGTGGGCACTGGGGGGTGGGCCCGGGTCTTCTGGTCCAGCAGCCCGTTGCCCCTTCCTATGCCCATGGGCACGCCCCCCATCGCGGGGACACTGGGAGACAGCAGCAAGCTCGAGCTCACGGCAAGTGGGGTGATGGTACCCCTTTCGAACCAGGGTCACTGGCCGGCTTGGCCACCTGACCACCCCCTCCTCACAGCCACGGGTGGAGGTGTGAGCATCCTGCTCTGGATGAAGAAACTGAGCCAGGAAAAAGCATTCCCAGCCCCCGCGTGCGACTTTCCCACTGGACTGCTAGGCCCACCGGCACCCGGATAGTAAGTCCAGGTCGGTGCCCGAAGAACCTAGAGCCCAAGCATTAGAAAGGAAAGCAAATTGATGGGCAGAGGCGGTTAGAGGAGATGTGAACACTGGCATTGACCCAGGCAGGATCCACAGAGAAGGTCATTCCAGCCTGTCTCCTCTGGGTCACTGTATGACCACACCCTGGGCTTAAACTTCCTGGGAATGGGCTTTGCCAACTGTCAAATGGAAGGTGCTGACCCTTCCTCAAGGGGCAGTTGGGAAACTCAGAGAAAGGGGTGCCTACCACAATCCTGCTAGTGTTGCAGCTGTTGTTTGTGATGGGGTGAAAATACCCTCCTCTCTGGTGATGGCACTGCCTCAGCATTGGGCCTCTGAGGGCTTGTTACAGGGCAGAGAGAGGGGCACCCCTGAACCCCCAAACCTGCCTGCTCCAAATAGGTTCTGCCATCTGCTGCATCAAGACAAAATATATGACTTTAATGAAAAAGGACTTTAATACAGTGAGTATCTAACACAGAAGACAGAGAATATAATTTCTAAATCAAACACCTGAAGTTACCCATCCCCTCATGGGCAAAAGTCCATCCCAAGAGATTGGCCCAAAGCAAGGCCTGAAAGCCCACCACAAGCCTAAAGCACCTTCTGGCTGGGACCCATGGAAAAGGGTCAGAAATGGCCAGGCCAGTCTGGGAGGAAAAGAGCAAAATCAAAATCAGTAGAAACACTGCCATAGTCATGGGTCTCTCGCCCACATCTCTTTCAACCAGTCCAGGGCCAAGAAATAAACATGGTTTCTTCACATGGCTCCATGTGGCTTCCTCAGGTCGCCTTCTGGCTCTCCACCCTGCTGCCTTCTTCTCCTCAGATTCCTTCTCTTCTCTCTTCTTCTCTCCTCAGCTCCACCTTATTTCTGGGTAGGGCAGGGAACCTGGAACTTTCCCTTTTCCTAGGGACCACCCCGTTACAGCCTCAGGGAGTCTGTGATTTGATGGGCTCCAGCCAGGGATCAGCCTCAGCTCAGTGTGCTTGGGAGCCAGGTGGGTAGGAGATCCAAGGGGTGTCAGAGCAGGGCCCTTCCCTACACACCTTTCCTGCCAGGGCCTGGGTCTTCTCCGCTGGAACCTGCATCTAAAAGCTGTTATAACTAACGACATTTGGGTAAGGGGTTTCTGGACTTCACCAAGGAGTGCTTTTCAAAACTGACTTCCCTTAATAAATGAAACTGTTTCCAGGCTCACAGTTTCTTAGCTTGAGGGAAGGGAGCTAGGGTGAATCAAACACTCTTCAAGGGAAAGTTTTTACTCAACGATTTCCTGTCATCCTCACATCTTTCACTCACATAGAGGAGGAAAATCAGACCCACAGAAGACAGACTTTCAGTCATACACAGGAGATGGTGGCACTGGACCAGCCACTGGGGCCCCGAAGTCCAGCTTGCTGTGGGACCTGCTTCACCATCTTCACCCTGGCATGTCAGAGCGCTGAGCTGGGCAGGGTGGGAGGCAGGAGCCAGAGCCAGTCCCTGGATCTGACTGAGGTGTCCAGTGTTCCCTCTGTGAAGTGGACTCAGGCCACCCAGCTGTGTCCTTCACAGGTGGTTGCAGGATAGAGGGCTATAAGAGTGCTTGGTAGGCTGTAGGCAGTGGGAAAGGTTTAGGGGAGCAGGGCGATTGTTATTATGTTTTGAGAGACCTTAGAGCTTGGGGAAGAACTATAGAGCTTGGGGTCAGGCTAGACTTCTGAGGCCAGTCCTTCAGCAGGTTCTTGAACCCCATCTATAACCCTGCCAAGAAGCTTTAGCTTACTTTCCTCTAAACATGGGTGCGCTGTACCTTCCAGGGAATACCAAGCCCCACCTTCAAAGGGCTGGGATATTAGAAAATTTTCCCTCTCACAAGACAAGCCGGCCCCTGGCACTCACCTCCCACACAGTTCTTATGCACAGCTCTGCTGGTGTCCTTCCAGCTGAGGTTTCCCATGAGAGATGAGTCTCCTGGTGTTTCCTTCTGCAGGGACCATTACTCGCACCACCTGGTCCAATCCTCAGGGGACAGGCTCTACATTCTTTCCTGGCTGCTCTTCCCCCAGCAGCCAACATTTTGGTCCTTCTCAAAGTCCAGAAGCAAACATTGTTTTGGGGGAGCCACAAGACCGGCACAGAGTGCCAAGAGGCCACCCCTGTTTTTCTGTTCAGGACCCGGGCCTGCTCCCACCCACTGGCACTGCTGTGTTGTGGGTCCCTACCACCCCTGTTTGTTCAGCTAGAACTCATTCGTTCCTGTCTTTGCTCTAGATCACCTGCTGGTGTTACCGCCTCCGTATTACTTGGACAAACACCTTCTACACCTTCAAGTTCAGCCTTCATTATCTCTGGACCTTGCTTGGCTCCTGATCCTCAGCTTTGCCCCCATAGAAGCCCTTGCCCCCTCCCCACCACGCACAGTGATCTTTCCCAAGTTGCCCACCTTTAGTCACACCTCAGGTCAGGAGAGTACTGCTGGCTCAGCACTGCGGTCACTCTCACCAGGAGCCTTAGTTGTTGAGGTGATCATGGCTCTTCACCCTGGCACATCAGTTGCCATTGTCCCTCAGCCCATCACCCATGGACCCTGGATGCCTGTGGCCACATTTTGGGCCCATGGTGAGTCAAATCCTGCCTTAGAGAGTCTGCAAACAAATCAAGTCTCCAACATAGTCCCACGGTTTCTGGGAATGCTGTGAAGTGGAGTCTCCAGTGGAGAGCCTACATGAGGAAGAAGAAGGAGGCAGAACCTGGAGGGAGGATGCTGTGTCAGGGTCGAAATTCACTTGGCATAAACGTGATCAGCTGTGTATCACCAGCCAGGGTGTTACAGGGCCTGTAGTGACCCTTCTGGAAACTTGGAGGACAGCTGAACAAGGCAGTGGGGACTCCCACAGAGATTACAAATATGATCCCCTGGGAGCAGTTGCAGAAGGCATCCACCAGCATCCCTGGAAGCCCATGCCTGTTAGCCCTTTACCCGCTAACACAAGGCTGCCCTAACTCTCCAGATGGCTCCTGCCCTGCACCTGCCCAGCCTACACAGACTGTGCTCCCCACCTGCAACTGCACAGCCACCCCATTATATCTGTAGCAAAGCAAACACCTTGAAGGCAGGGGCAATTAAGAGAAGGACTGCAAAGTCAAGTAGCATGATTCACAGCCTGCACAGGGCCCCTGCCCCCATTGCTAAGGTGTATGTCCAGGGAGGGATTGCCATGACATTAGAAATTATGGCTGGACCAGCTAGGGCACTCTGGCTGTTCTGAAGATGGAGAAAGGGCAGCATTTGTTGCCGGGGATGACCTTGAGGCTAGAAAGCTCTGGGGCCATGCTAGCACAATTGTCCCTCAATTGTCTGTGGGGATGACCTGTAGACACAGCAGTCAATCTCAGGAGGAGACTTAGGTCGCCACAGGCAGGTGGCCTGGGAGGCTGTGTGTGAGTACTCCTCCAGTCTCAACAGTCCCCAGCGGACGTCTGACCACTGCCAACCAGCTTCTGTTTAGACTTGCTCCAGTACAAATCATTTTTAAAACCTGGGCTGAGAAGTTCTAGACTTTGGAGCCTGCCAAGTTCACAGTGCCCCTGTGCAGTCATTAATACTTCCCCCCCCCAATTTATTAGTCTTGGATCTCGCCCATAACTTATGAATGACACTCACTGGTGAGAGCTCTGCATTTTCACCATATATCACAGCAAATCTCTAGCCCCTACACTGCACCAATGCCCAGAGGAACCCCCAGACGAGGTCCTGCCCCTGCCAGGCAGGACTAGAACAAGACTTTGTGCTCATGGAGCCACATCGGGGTTTGCGTTGCAGCTGGCCCCCAGCGTGTGTGCACCTGGTGGGGAGCCATGGAGCCCGAGAGCTCAGTGGCTAGCCCTTGAAGGCCCTCACACAAAGTAACAGCCGCTGTCAAGGCCAAGAGACACATGGAACTTAGGGAAAGCTGTGGGCTTGTGCCTTGGGGCTGGTTTGGAATCTCAGCTGGGCCTTGAACAAGATACTTGACCACCTGCCATCGAGGTCCGTAACTGTGTGGCCTAGTGCTTGGTTGAATGCTCTGCTTTTGCCCTCTGGGAACACCTAATGTTTTTCAACAACAGGGCCCACTAATTATGTATCCAGCCATGTCGCTAGCCCCTGATTTTCCAGAATGAGATAAGTAGCAGAAATACAGCTCTGAACCCAATCGCACACACAGCTCTCATAGCCAGCACACAGTGGGCACGTGTGTGGTTGTCCTGCTTCCTGGCCAAGCCAGAGGGCAGCACGCTGTGTGCTCAGGGTGTGTGGACGAACAGTCTTCCTGCCTGGAGGCCCTGGCTCCTCCAGGAGGCCCAGCTGACTCACCACCCCTTCCCAGCTCTGCTGCATGGGCAGGTGGTACAGGGCTCCACCCTGTGGGCAAAACTCACATTATAAGCGTTGCCACCTCAGCACCCACTGGCTTCGAGGAGATTAGTCAAAATGGGTCTGCAGAAGGCTCACACCCAAGGAAGAAAGGCACCGAGCACCTGAAACCAACTCCAGCTGCAGCTACAAAAATGAGCTAGGACTGTGTGCTGGGGGCCCAGGGCTCAGGGAGCTGAAGGGGCCACTGGACTCGACATTCATTGTCTCAGTGAGTCTTACAGCCCACAGCATGTGAGGTGTTTCTTATTCCCATTTAATGGATGAGGTAACTGAGGCTCAGAATGGCCCAGGCCACACAGCACAGGACTGCAGAACTGGGGCTGGCGCCCAAGGCCATTTTGTGCCCATTCTGCTTTCTAGCCCCTTCAGGCTCTACCAGCTCAGTCCTCATGTGGGGTGATTCCTGCATAGCCTTAGGGCTCCTTGGTGCCAGTTGAAAGCAAACCGGGGGCAAACGGAAGGGTGAACACGCCCGCACCAAGTCTGACAGGTGATCTGTTCTTGGCCTCAAGCATCCTTCCTCCCTCCAAGCCTCCAGCCACCCAACTAGTCTCTGGACAGGAAGCACCAAAGAGAGGGAGTTAGACTGTGGGCTGAAGCCAGGAGGTGGAGGGAGTGGTTAGGATGTCCTGGTGTCTCTGACCCTGCCTGATGGGTGACTGACAGAGATGCCAGGTGCAGCCCAGTTGATAGGAAAATGCAGTGAATTCCCAGGGCTGTCTGAACCCTGTGTGGGTGAGGACAGAACTCTAGCCCCAGCAGTCTGGGGAAGAGACGCTTGGAGCAGAGACCTGACAGCACCAGTGTGGGCGCTGTGAGAGCAGCATGGTCAGGTCTCACTTTCAGTCTGTCTTAAAGCTCATGCTGAAGGCTCCTAGTGGGCACAGATTTTATGAAGAGGAAGTGGAGATGGGGGTCAGTAAATCAAAGTGGACACACCCCCACCTGAGGACCTAAGTTGCATGTCAGACACATCTGTGGATTGAGCCCGCCCCCTCATTAAATCATAACAAGAGCCCAAAGGGGACAGTTTCAGTTCAACCAAGGCTGGACCCACAGGGCCATAGCAGAGGGCATCAGGGCCCGTCAGTGGGTCTCAGACTTGGGAAGGATCAGGTTGGTGGTGAGGAAAGAGAGGCAGCTGAGAAGTGGCCTATGTCTCAGTATGATGGGCCGCCACCTACCACAAAGGAGGAAGAGGCAGTATGGGAGATCTATTTTGGTAATGTTGAGTCAGAGCTAGCTGGAGGTCATCCAGAAGTTGTCCTGTTGGCCAGACCAGTCAGCTCAGGAGAGATGTCTGGGGTGAAGGTCACCTGGTCTGGGTTATTTTTACAAACCACCTGGATAGAGAGATGACCACCCTCACTTGCAGAGTTAACACCAAGATTGGGAGAGAGCTAATGCCTTATGGGCTGAACCCAGATTCAGAGCCTTAGCAGGCAGCACCTCTAGACATTTGCCTGGGGCCTTAAACACCAGATGCCCTGGAGGACACATAGGCCTGGCCTGAGCCAAGTGCCGCCTGTAGGGGAAAAAGAGTTGGGTGTCCTTGTTGGGAAAAAAGAGCTGGGTGTCCTTGTTGGCCCCAAGCGCTTGAGTCAGAGAAGGGTGGCAGCCAGACCCACCTACAGGCTGTTAGACTGGGTTAGGTGAGTGAGCACTCCAGGTTTGGGGAAGGACAAGTCTCGGAGCTAATGCAGCCTCTTGGGAGCAGGAAGATGAAAGGACCTCAGTATGTGAAGAACTGGCACCACCACCTGGAGCTTTGAAGGACAGTGAAGGCTGTCTTCTACCCCTCCCTATTCTGGCCACAGCTAGGAATCTCAGTGAAACCTACAGAACTGGAAAATGCGGGAGGGCCCAAGTCACTTCCTGGAAGAGACTTCTCAGGAACGGGTGAGCTTGGTCATATAGACTAGCGGTGTGGCCTGTGTGAAAAGCACTTCCTGCCTGGCCAAGGAGTGGACATCCCAGGAGACCCTGACTGTGCTCCCTGGGGGCAGAGACTTGGGCCCCGATGCCTGGTAGCAGTGTGCATCCTGTGACCATACGGAACGCATGAGGATGAGAAGCCACCAGCTGCTCAACAGAGAGAGGGAACTCCCTTGGCCCAGGTCTACAGACCGTGATGGGAGAGATGCTTGTGGGTGATGAGGTGGTTCCTGCTCTGGGGACCGCCTCCCATATTCTGCTCTGTCACGTCTTGGACCCTCAAAGGTGGTGACAGCGTCAGGAGCCATCTCCCCAGTCCTGTCATTCTGTGAAAGAGCTTCACCTCACTTCATGGTGCAGATAAAGACATAGGCTAGAGATGGGCTGTAAACTGCTCACATTCCCATCATGGGCCAGTGTTGACACCAGGACAAGAGTCTGGGGTCTGAGATTTTCTCATTCACTCCAGGCCACCTGATCTGAGGTGGGATAAAGTTGCATGGGCCTGTGGACACTTCGGCTGAACACAGATGCTGCCCATTCTAGGTGCCTCTGCAGTTGTGGGCTCAGGGTAAAACCAAGACCAGCAACCAGACTCTCCTGTCTGGCCCAGTGGGCCTGCTCCTGCACTGCTTGCAGGGAGCAGCATACCAGCAACCTCTCACTTCCAGGGCAGCCTGTGGGGCTAGTCCGAATTCAGAACATAAATTATACAGAGCCACTGAGGGGTGTGTTGTCTGATTCTGCAGATCCCTGAGCAGGGCCTGGAGCCAGCCCCCGGCCCTCCCTTAGCTCAAGCATTAAAGCAAAACACACCTCTGACCGCAGGCATTTAAGGATCAAAAGAGGCCAAAAAAGCTTTTAAGAGCCAGCTCTGCTTGTGTTGCCACGAGGCCTGCAGTGTCAGGGTAGTTGGCTTCTGCGCAGTCTCAGGCACACTGCCCTGGAAAGCTGCCTCAGAAAGCCTGGGGCCCCTTGCCGGCAGCCCATGCTCCTCAGAGAGGTCCTCAGACATCTCAAGAGGATGGGCCAGACCCTCATGTGTGTGTATCTGTCCCACTCTGACATTTATTAGCTCCTTAATCTCCTTAGCAATTCTGGGGCCAAGGTCCAGCGAGTGTCATAGAGCCAGAACAGGGTGGAGCTGAGGACTGAAACCAGGTCTGATTCTCCTAGCCTTCCCTGCCCAGAGCCTGCAGGTCAAAGAAATGGCCTACACAGCCAGTCGAACCCTGGCCACAGTTTCTTGTCCTGTCATGCAATCCCAGCCTAATTATCATCCTTCCTATCAAGTATAATCCCTCCTGATCATCGGTTGACCCCAGCCTCCCTCAGCCTGTCAATCCTTACCCTGCATGCCTCCATTCTTGTGTCTCCATTCTGGCACCTGCCACCCCTCCCCCCGCAGCCAGGAGTCCTCACCTGTCCAAGTTAAGTTTCCCTGTGGCTTCTCACTGACTTTGGGATAAGGCTAAGCTCCTTTAGGATGACTTTTGAGGCCGACCTCATTTTTCTCCTTTTCTTCCTGTACTTGGACTACTGCAAACTCTGACCTCGCCTCTCTCCCACTCTTATCCAGTCAGGCTCTGTCTCCGTGTCCTCTTGCCTCACTCAGACAGCTTTGCACTTCCTTTTCATTGAGTAAATATGTAGTGAGTGTTCTCCATCCGCTAGGCCCTGTGTGGGTGGTGAGGCTGCCCACTGCAGATCCATTCCTGGAGTGCACAGAAAATGGGGCCCAGACAGACAGCCCTGGCATGGCAGTAGGTTCTCTTCTGCCACTATGTGGCTTTGGAGCTTGTATGCAGAGGACAGAGTTTCGAGTGACCCCAAGAACACTGGGTATATTTGGAGGCTCAGGCCATAGGAAAGTCCTGCAGCTGTTTCTACATTTCTGCCTCCCACATGGGGACACTGAGAACAAAGAAGGGAGGGGCCCTGTTCCCATCATGCATCAAGCTCATGTGTGATCAGCCCCTGAGTCCCTGGTGCTAAGTCCAGTTTGAACTCAAAAGATAGGTGGTCCCCATGGAACCCAGAGCTTCCAGGAGGCATGTGATGGAGAGCGAAGGTGTACTGGGGGAGCACCAACTGGCCATAGTCCCTGCCTTTCAGACTCTGGCAAGCTTCACATTCACCCTTCGCTGTCCTCACCTCCACAGATGCCACGGTGCAAGATGACATGAACAGCTACATCAGTCAGTACTACAATGGGCCCAGCAGTGGTAAGTCTGTGGAGGGCTATTGTTTACATACTGGAACATCTGTTCTGCCCCATGACAGCTGTGACCCTGGCTACTCCCCAACCTGGTCTGCCCATTTCCTGGTGCCTATGCCATCACTGTAGGCAGAAGGCACTCTTAAAACACCAAGCACATTTGCTGGGGGCCAGAAGCTCTGGTTGCTGGGTGAGGGCCACAGATGAGGGCTACAGATGGGGCCCTGAAATGGATATGGGGCTGGAACCTCACCACTTCCAAACCTGAGCACCTCTCTGTCGGGGTGTGGTGGGGCCGAGGTAACAGCTTAATTCAGCTGAAGAGCAGTAGGCGTTGAGCAGGCACTGGCCTGATAGTTCATTCCTGCAAAGTCTCAGGGAACAGAGTGATTTTCACTCATGGGAAAGGATGAGTTTTAAAATAATACTTAGTCTCAATGTCTTATTTCTCCCTAGCATTTACCTTTCTCAGGGAGATGGGGTAGCATAGGTCTGTAATCTTTTATTAGTTTTGGTTGTATAATGTACTAATTCATTCCTTGTATACAGCACTTCCCTCCTACCCAGTTTAACATCACAGTATCCAACAGGGGCCCCAAAATTTTACATATTTTGAGAGAAACCACATTCACTAAACGTGATTATAATACATTGTTACATATATTCTATTTTATTGTTAATCTCTTATATTGCCAAACTTATAAATTAAATTTAATCATAGGTATCTATGTAATACATAGTACAGATAAAGCTCAATCCTATCTGTGGTTTCAGGGATCTTCTGGGAGTGCTAAAATAAGGGGGGACTACTGTATATTTTTAAATGATCACAACAATAAGTTTAGCTAACATCTGTCATATATATTATTAATTTTTTCTTATGATGGGAACTTTTAATGTCTATTCTCTTAACAACTGTCAAATATGCAACACATATTTGTATTGACTATTTAGTATTACTGACTATAATCACCATGCTGTGCATTACATTCCCATGATTTATTCATTTTATAAATGGAAGTTTGTGCCTTTTGACCCCCATCACCCCATTTCACCCACCACTCACCTCCGGCAACCACTAATTTGTTTCTGTATCTGTGAGCTTACTTTGATTGTCTTTATGATCCCACATATAAGTGAGATCATATAGTACTTGTCTTTCTCCATCTGAGAAAGAGTAATGCCCTCCAGCTCCATCCATGTTCTCACAAATGGTAAGACTTCATTATTTTATGCTGAATAATATTCTGTTAATGTGGCTACATATATGAATCTATATATGTTTTTAGTGTACAAATCTTTCACCTCCTTGGTTAAAATTACTCCTAGAAATTTTGTTCCTTGATGCAATTGGAAATGGGATTATTTTCTTAGTTTCTCTTTCTGACAGTCCATTTTTAATGTATGAAAATGCAACTGAGTTTTGTGTATTGAATTTGCATTCTGTAACTTTACTGAATTTGTTAAGTAGTTCTGAGAGTTTCTTGCTAGAACCTTTAGGGTTTTCTGTGTATAATAGGTTGTGTGTAAACAAGTGACAGTTTTAATTCTTCCTTTCCAATTTGGATGCCTTTCATTTCTTGTTCTTGCCAAATCACTCTGGTTAGGACTTCCAATACTATATTGAGTAGTAGTGGTAAGAGTGAGCATATTTGCTTTATTTCTGATCTTAGAGGAAAAGCTTTCAACTTTTTACTATTGAATAAGATCATCATTGTAGGTCTTGCAATATATTCTTTATTATTTTAATGTTTGTTCCTTCTATACCCACTTTATTGAAAGATTGTTTATTTAATCACAAATGGATGTTGAATTTTGTCAGTTGTTTTTTCTGCATCTGTTGAGATGATCAGATAGTTCTATCCTTCACTTCACTGATGTAATATTTCATATGGATCAATATGTTTGTTCATCATCTTGTCCTGGAGTTTTGTTTGTCAGAGGTTTTTGATTTTTGATTCAATCTCCTTACTAGTAATCATTCTGTTAATATTTTCTGCTTCTTGTTCATTTAGTCTTGGTAGCTTGCCAGTTTCTAGGAATTTGTTGGTTCTTGTAGGTTACCCAATTTTTGACATGTCTTTGCTTATAGCAGTCTGTTCTGATCCTTTGTATTTCTGTATTATCAATTATAATGTCTTCTCTTTCACTTCTGATTTTAGTTGAGTCCTTGTTTTTTCTTGGTGGCTATAGCTGATATTTGTCAAATAACCAGATTTCATTGACATTTTCTTTCTTTTTCCCTCTATTTCATTTGTTTCCAGTTTGATCTTTGTTACATCATTCCTTCTACTAACTTTGGGTTTTATTTGTTCTTCTTCTAGTTCCCTAAATAAAGTTACTTATTTGAGATCTTGCTTTTTTCTTGAGGTGGGAGCTTATTGCTAGTACTTCCCTTTTAGAACTACCTTTGCTGCACCCCATAAGTTTTGGTATGATTTATTTTCATTTATCACAAAGTATTTTTAATTTATCTTTTGATTTTCTTCTTTAACTCATATCTATTCACTATTGTTTTGTATTGCTTAAACTCCACATAATTATGAATTTTCCAATTTTCTTTTTGTAATTGATTTCTAGTTTCATACCACATGATATGAAAAGATGCTTAATTTGAAAGAATTTCAGTCTTTTTTAGCTTATTTAGACTTGTTTTGTTGCTTAGTGTACGATCTATATACTAAGACTATTCTATGTATTCTTTTTTTTTTTAAGATTTATTTATTTATGCATACAGAACTGGAGTACAGGCCAAAAGGTGGGGGGGGGGTGGATAAGAGGATTCACCAGATACAGAGCAGGGAGCAGAACAGGCAGAATGGCAAAGTACACTGCTGAGGGGAATAGCAGGTGAGACAGGACTGGTCTGCTGCTCCCTGGCTGGGGATCAAACTCGTGCTACAGTGGCTGTGGACAGCTTCACAGTGCTGTGACTTAACCTGCTGCACCACCAGGGAGGACCCTATTCTATGTATTCTTGAAGAATATGTGTTCTGTTACTTTTGGATGCAGTGTATGTATGTCTGTATGTATGTATATTAGGTGTAGTTATGTTCAGTTCCTGTGGTCTAAAGTATTCTTTTGTGTTGCTGTTTCCTTATTGATTTTTTTGTCTGGATGATTTATCCTTTCATGTAAGTGGAATATTGAAATTCCCTTCTCTTACTATATTGCTGTCTATTTCTCCCTGTAGGCCTATTAATATTTACTTTATATTTTTAGATGCTCCTATGTTGGGTGCATAAATATTACAAATATTCTATCTCTTATTGGATTGACACCTCATTGTTATGTAATGTCCTCCTTTGTTTCTTATTAGGTCTTTTTAAAGTGTACTTTGTCTGATATAAACATGTCTATCTACTCAAGTTTTCTTTTGGGTTCCATTTGCATACAGTATCTTTTTCTATCCTTTACATTCAATCTGTGTATATTCTGTTATCTGAAGTCAGTCTCTTAAAGGCAATATATAGATGATTGTGTTTGTTCTTGTGTTTTGTTTTATACATTCAGTTTTATTGTGTCTGTTGTTTGAAGAATTGAGTCCATTTTAGTCATTGTTTTCTGGCTGTTTTATAATTCCTCTCTGTTCCTTTCTTTTCTTGTTCATTTCCTCTGTGGTTTGATGACTTTCTTTAGTGGTACGCTTAGATTATTTTTTGTGTATCTACTATAGGTTTTTACTTTGTGATACCATGAGGCTTACAAGAAATAACTTATATTGATAAGAGTATCTTAAGTAAAGAACAGCTTAAGTTTGAAAATGTTCTTTAGCTCTATATTTTTACACTTCCTCACTGTTTTACATTTTTATGTCATATTTTTATATCTTTGTATCTTGTATATTCTTAACTAAATATTGTAGTTATTCTACTTTTGCTTTTTTTAAAGATTTTTTTATTTATGCATACAGAACTGGAATACAGGCTACAGGTGCAGGGGCGGCGAGAGGATTCACCAGAGACAGAGTGGGGAGCAGGCTGACTGACAAGAGTACACTGCTGAGGGGAGCAGCGGGCGGTCAGGAGAGATCTGCCACACCGTGTGGATCACCTCCAGGGTGGGGATCAAACTCATGCAGAAGTGGCTTTAGCTTCTTAGTGCTGTGCTTTAACCTGCTGCACCACCAGGGAGGGCCCTACTTTTGCCTTTTGTCCTCCGTGATACCTTTATAAATGATTGATCCTTTGCATTTACTATATATTTACCTTCCCAGTGAGATTTATACTTTCATGTTTCTTGTTACTAGTTAAGACCTTTTCTTTTCAGTTTAAAGAAGTCCCTTAACATTTCTTGTTAGGCCAGTTTAGTGGTGATAGGTTCCTTTAGCTCTTGTTTATCTGCAAAAGCTAAATTCTGAATTATAATTTTGCCAAGTAGAGTATTCTTGGTTAAATTTTTATTTCTCATCTCAGATATATCGTGCCACTCTGTTCTGTCCTGAAAAGTTTCTGCTAAAAAAAAAAAAAATCTGCCTATAATTTAATTTACTTGGATCTCTTTGGACTTCCTGTATCTGGATGTCTGTTTGTTCCCCAATGTAAGGGATATTTTTAACTTTTATTTCTTCAAATAATTTTCTGTCCCTTTATCACTCTATTCTCCTTCTGGTATTCCTACAATGCAAATGTTACTCTGATGCTGTTCATTAAGTCCTTTAAACTACCTTCATTTCCTCCCACTCCCTTTTTTCTTTTGGCTGTTTTGACTGATTGAGTTCTACTGCCCTGTACTTGTGTTCACTGATTTTTTCTTCTACTGAATCCAGTTTACTGTTGAACCTCTACTTTTCAGTTCAAGTATTACATTCTTCAGCTCTGTTACTTCTGTTTGTTACTTTCTAACATTTTCTATCTCACGATATTTATTCATTTGCCAAATTTGGTGAGTACATTTATCATATTGGTTTCTATGCACAGATGAAATACTGCCTCTCCCAGCCTTTAGTGAGTGCCCAGGAGCTTAGCCAGACTATCCCAGTCAACTCTTTGATATTGTCCAAATAGATCATTTTTATTTTCAATAGTTCCCTGAGGGTATACCAAGACCTATCTGTGTACTAAAGGAGAGAATCTCATTCAGTTCTTGGATTCAGGCTAGTTGAAAACCAGTCCATTAGCAGCAGCCTTGAAGGTATGAGACAGTACGTTCCATTGGGATCACAAGAAGAAGCTCCATTGACCACCAGAGTGAGGTGCTATAGAGGTGTCCCCTGGCAGCAGCCATAAAGTTGGGGATATCTCACAAGGGTATAAGTTATTTTGTGGTAGATACCAGTGAACTGCAGCAAGGCTTTGGCAGATGCCAAAGTTTCATCCACTAGTCTCTGATCCCTGAGAACACCTCTATAGACCATAGTATGTGCCAAACCCAAAACCTTCCTATCTGGCCAAGGCTTCTGGAGAAACAAGTAACTCTCCTCCTCAGTAAGACTGGGATGTGTGTTTCAGTCTGTTGTCTGTGAAGTGCCCCAGGGATGATAGCTTGCCAAGAGCTATGTCTCTGATTATTACAGCCCCATAGGACCAGAAATACAAGCCCCCTTGGCTTCCAGAGCCAAGCAACCAAAGGGCATTCTTGGATGAAAGTCACAAAAACTGGGGAAGTAGACATAGATAAAAGCTCCCTTCTGGAGTGCTGGTGCTCTGGACCATGACAAAGGTAGACCACAAAGATGGCACTTGCCCAGGGGAAAGGGGAAGACCTAGAGTTAAAAAGAAGAAAGGTACCCATTGACAATAGCCATGTAGACAGAGAACACAAAGATGGCACCCAGTAGCCTCCATTATTAGAGAACAAACTTTATCCACAAGAAACCTCAACAGACCCCCCAGTCCTTAAGTTGATCTTTTAAAATTAATCTATTTCACATAAAGGGACTTTTCAAACTTCTTCTGTGCTGATTAGACCCCAGGATATGTGAGTCCATGCTGTGTATGCTTGTTAAGAATCATTTCTCAGGTCACACTAGTTTTGTGGGTCTCATGAATGTAAACATTGTTAATTTTCAAAGCTAGAGATTTAGGGGACTCTCAGGTATAGATGCCCAATGTTGGGGTTTGAGCCCTTCACTCATCAAGAAGCTTTAGTCTTGAGTCCCTTCCCTCTTGTGGGTTTCTGGTTGGTGAGATCATTCTCAGCCTCTTCTTCCCATTCCAATTTGGGTTACTTTTCTGCCCAGTGTGCAGGAGTCACTCATATAGTTTACATTTTCTTTGGAGGAAATTGTTCCATATGTAACTGTGGAATCAGTGTGCCTATAGGAGGAACAGAGTTCAGAAACTTCTACATTATCATCTTGAAACAGAATCTGTATTAGTGTTGCATCTTGTAGGTTGGACTTCAAAACTCTCAAATCCTAATATACTCCATAACAGGGCTAGAATACTAAGTTCTATGACATGTATAATGTATTTAAATTTTTTCTTTTCTATGATTTAACCCTGTCAAATTTATGGATTTCAAAGACCACCTTTCTAGATGGTACCTCTCCTCCAATCTGGAGAAATAATGTATACACAACACCACTGTAGTTTTCCCCTTGAGACTTCTTCCATAAAGACTTCTGAAATGTCCTCTGCATCCTGTAAAGATTAATCAATCTTCAGAAGGCTCCTCTGTAATCATGTTAATCTCCACTGTCCATGTGGCCCTATTTAAAACTTTGAATGATTCCTTGTGACTATGAAGACCACATTCTTTGCCTGGTTCTGAGTTTATCCGGATAGGCTAAGTTATGCTACAGTTGCAAATAACCACATCTCAATGGTTTAAATAAATCAACAAAGGCCCATAAAATAAACCAACAAAATCAGGTTGGCCTGGGGCACTGCTCCTGGGTTGTCATCACTCACTGAGTTCTACCCTTTGTTTTAGAACATTGTTGATGGCCAGCAGGACCGGCCCTATAACGTCCACCAGACATGCCATAGATCCTCTCTCACAGAGGACCATCTACAATCAAGTTCAGCAACATGGGCTCAACATCCTCCCTGTGGGGTGGGTGGTAAATATTAGAGAACTGGACTGTCTCCCAAGGTCTCTCCCACAAAGATACCCTTCCCACAGCCTGCCACAGTCAGACCCACCTCTCAGCCCCTTATTCAACTAACACACCCTCTTGGGGCCCACATGTGAGGTCAAGGGTGAAATGTGACTGGTATCCCCTCCTTTCTTGCAGACAGCGGTGTCCCAGAGCCAGCCATGTGCCTGGTCACCACAGCCGCCATAGACATCCACCAGCCCAATACCTCTTCCGACCTCTTCTTGGTAGATGTGCCCCTGAAAGCCGGCAGCAACGGTACCTGTGTCAGCACCACTTCCGAGAGTGCCTCGCATTGGGTCCACAGCTCCGGCACCCAGGCCCAGAGTGACAGCAGCCTGACCCTGGGCTCCTCCAGCGACTACAGCCCGGCCCGTGACCAGCCAGCCTCTGAGCTCATCCCTTCTCCCCGGCCACTGCCGCTGCCACCTCAGCTGCCCCTGGGGGAGGCCAGGGCTCTGGACCAGCTGTCCTCCCCTTCAGAGGACCCAGGCCCACCCCAGAGGTCCTTGGTCCCTGCCTCCAGGCCCAGGCCCAACCCCCCAGACTCAGCCCCCACCAGCCCTGAGCCAGAGCACCGGGTCAGGCCATTCCACCAGAGCCAGGAAGGCTTCACTGTCTTCCAGATTCAGCCCATTCTCCCCTACCAGCCCCCGGTGCCTGTGCTAGATGAGAAGCTCAGATGTTTAGAATCCAAAGAACAAAAGTTGCACAGGGTCCCTGAAGCCTAACTCCTCTGAGACAGGCTGGGTGGGAGGAGGGGAGATCTCCCAGGGTCCCAGAGGCCTCGTGGCCACATGCCAGGGCTCAGGGTCGCCCTCAGGGTGTTGCTTGCCTTCGGGGCAGAGATGCCAGGCCAGAAGGCCACCAGCCTCAGACCTCAGAGCCCAGAGCTGGTGCCCATCTCACCCTGCTTGGGAGGGGGTGCTCATGGCTGGGTTGTTTTTTAAAGTCATTTTTACAAAAACCAGCCCATGGCCCAGCTTCAGCAGGGTAGAGCTCGGGGCCAGCTCAGCCTCTTTTGTTGCCTTCGTTCCTGCCGAGTCCCCGGGAGCCTCGGGAGCAGCACTGTGAGCAGGGGCAGCCCAGCCCCACCCCACACCGTCTTTCCCAGGAGCCCCGGTGGAGCCGACACCATCACCCAAAGACCGGCACCCGAACTGACGTCGTTTGTCCTCATCCTCACTTCAGCATGAGTGTTCCTGAGTCTTTTCAAGATGAATTTTGTTTTCACCATCACAGGACATGAGGGAGGGACCTAGAGATGGGGGCGGGGGAACAGGGGGTGGGGGAGGGGACAGTCATTTTCCAATCTTGGCTTTAATAATAAAAACCAGCTGCAACTGACACTGCATTGCATAAGGTTTTTCTTTGATTGCTGGTCCAGATGAAGAATCCACCCACCCTGGTTCCTTAGGGATTTAGTGGGTCCAACTGAGGTCCCCAAGAGTCTCCCCCCCCTCTCTGACCGCCTGAAGACCTTTAAAGGGAAGTGGCCCTGCCCTTTTCCTCTTGCATCAGCTGAGCTCAGATTTTCTGCCTTGCTGCTGACAATTTCTAGACCTCACTCCCTGACCCAGGCTCCAGTGCTCAGGGTGCATGAACAGCAAGTCTAAGTCTCAGGATCTCCCTCCTCAACCCCCACAAGCAGTCAGAACTCATCCTCGGTGTCCTAGCTCAGGCCCACCCCCTGCCTCTGCCCCCTGCAGAATCCTCCCCAGAAGTGAGCCAGCAGGCTTGACAAGCCTCCAGGAATTCTGTTTATAACCAGTAGGCTTTGTTTTCTATGCAAAAAAAGTGGAGAAGAGACTTTTTTCATCTGGAATATACCCCTGGCCTCCACCCAACCTTCCAGAGAGCCAGTGAGCTGCATCTGGCTGCCCTTCACCTGTCCTTTATCCTCCACGTCCTTGGCCAATCCTCACTGTCCAGGCCTCTTGCCCTGTACTCCTCACGCTTGCCCTGACAGCAGTGTCCATAGCAGGGGCAGCACCTATTCCCTTGCTTGCCTCTCTTGGTTCCCGTCAGGAGCAGGGTTCAGGCCTGAGACCAACTGAACCCCAGAACCTTCCTTGGGCACAGCTGGGAAAAAGGGCTCACTTGGAAAAAAGGGAAGAAAATTACTCCCTGTAGGTAAAAAGTGCCTTCCTGGTTCATGGAGGCATCAGGCCCCCATGTCATGGGGACCTCAGTGTCCCCATCCAGAAAATGTTTCCACAGAAAAGCTGCACTTCTTAAAAGCTGCACTTTTCTCAGGGTCACACGAGTCGCTGGGGTAGAGTCCTACCCTGGTGCTCGCCCACTGTCACCTTCAACGCTTGAACAGTCAAGTCCAGCATCACACTGTCCCAGGAGCAGAGAAACTCAGGGGGCCCATCTCTCAGGGACCAGAGTGCACAGTCACAGCAGGAGGCCGAGGAAGCCCCTGGCCCCGAGGAAGCTCACAGGGGAGGAAACCTTGGGAGAGAGATTTAAAGAATAAGCACACTGGCTCAGTTCTTCCTGCTTCTTAATGGGATGGAAGAGAGAGAGGTTTTGATGGGGCAGTTTTAACAATAAACTCCAAAACTGACCCACTTCCAGAAAATGTGGATTGTCGGCTTAAATGCATAAAGTCGATTATAAAACCATGAAAAGACAGAGCTAAGGAGGAATTTATCAGGTGGAGAGGGTGGGTCAGCAGTGCCAGAAGAAATGTGCTGGGTGAGGTCTGTTGGGGGCCAGGGAGAAGTGTGGTGTTAAAAAGGGGGAGGGGAAAAAAAAGGAGGGGAGGGAGTGGAGAAGGGACCAGGTGGGGGACAAGAAAAAGCCAGGTGACTGGTTACTAGCAGCTTTGAATGCCAATGCCTGGGACCTCTGCAGCAGGGGTCCACAGAGCCTGGGCAGTGCCACAGGCATGCCTGGGAGGAGGGCAGGAGCAGGGCAGGTCCTAGGGAATGGGACAAAGTCACTTGTGCAGAGGACTGGGCCACCTACAGAATCTACAAGACTTATCCACGTTTGACATGAGGGAGATGTGTAGCAGAAGGAGAGAACACCACCGAATCCAGTAGGGATGCCAGGACTTGGGGGGACATCAGGATGGCCACAATGGCAGGGTGGGCATGGACGAGTTCTGAGAGACAGAGTTCTGAGAACAGCCCTGCCTTTTCTCCTGAGGTAGAGGCTAGGCCTACTCAGTATCTAGGCCCCAGGCACCATGGGCCTCTGCTTCTCCCTCTAGAGCTGAGGGTGGGCTTGGGTCACAGTGCAGAGGGAGAGCAAAAGCTTTGACTGTGGCTCTGCTCTGGGGTGCCACAGCACAGGCTTCTAGGGCCAGGAGCTGGCTTCTAGGCTCTCCTGGAAGGCTTGAAATTCTGGGAAACTGCTCATCTGTCCTGTCAGTGAGTATGTCCCTCCCTACCCCCACTAGCCCCCCTTGTGCTGTCACAAAAGGGAGGTGGGTCTGGACAGCAGTGCTGGCTCCAGTATCCAGCAGTGACTGTAATGACAGTTCCCACTGGTTCAGCTCCTGGTGGGACAAGTGATCTTTGCACTTCCTCTATAAGCCCTGCCCCATGGGGCTATTTTCCATGGCTTACAGAGGAGAGAACCTATACATAGGTACAGAATGATTAATGAAATGACTTGACCACAGGTACACAGCTAATCAAACTAGTGGCAGGATTTAAACCGAGGTCTTTTCTAATCCATGGAACAAGGTCCCTGGAATGAAGACAGGTCTCACCAGGAGAGCCAGGCGCAGCAATAAGGACCCTGGCCACACATTGTCCCTCGTGGCCTCCTCAGGCTGAGGACCCAGCCCACCCTCCTGCAGGGCCTCACCACCAGGCTAGAGAGAAGCCAAGCGTGTGACCAACATGCCACCGCACCATACTATCCTGGCAGTGAGGACAGCCAGGCCCACCTCTGCCCACTGGGACTGGGCAGCAGGAAAGCCTTCCTGGGGGCACAGCTGACTCTTCTCCAGCCAGGTGTGGATGGGTTGCTGGGCCAGACTGCAGTTTTTCAGATCAAGTCACACAGACTGTGGGTTTCACAGACCCTACTTGGTTAGAGGTTAGTGGCCTGTGTCTCAGAGATCCTTCTGTTTCAGGACAGGGAGAGAGAGGCACCACCGAACTCCCAAATCTGCCTGCTCTAAATAGGTTCTGCCATCTGCCACATAAAGACAAAACATACAAGACTTTAATGAAAAAGGACTTTAATACAGTGAGTATACAATACAAAAGAAAAGAATATAACTTCTAAATCAAACACCTGAAGTCACCCATCCCCTCGTGGGTCTACCCAAAAAGGATTGGCCCACAGCAAGGCCTGAAAGCTGCCACAAGCCTAAAGCACCTTCTGGCCGGGACCCATAGAAAAGGGTCAGAAATGACCAGACAATTCTGGGAGGAAAAGAGAAAAATCAAAATCAAGATAAACACTGCCATAGTCAGCCTCCCCACGGGTCTCTCACCCACATCTCTATCAACTAATCCAGGGCTAAGAAATAAACACAGTTTCTTCACATTCTCCCTGCTCCATGTGAGTGACTTCCTCAGGTCTCCTTCTGACTCTATCCTGCTTCCTTCTTCTCCTGATTTCTTCTCTCCTCCTCTCTCCTCAGCTCCACCCTACTTCTGGGTGGGGCAGTGAACCTGGAACTTCCCCTTTTCCTGGGGACCACCCAGTTACACTTCCATTAGAGAACTTGGGCCCCAAAGGCAGCTTTTGTCCTGATGCTGTCTTTGTGCTTCTCTCTGGTTTGATACCCTCACCTTTTAAGGGACAGGCAATAACTGAGACCCAGCTTTCTGTAATGGCTTTAAAACTCCAAAATACAACCCTTGGCTGAAGCCAGACTGTTACAGATGATGCCCCATGGAGGAGGGTGCTGGGGACGATGGAGAGCCCCAGACAAATGCAAACATGGATTGGGAGGGGGTGGAGATTCTGACAAGAAATACAAGGGACTGCACAAGCAGCCCCCAGCATTCAACGTTTGGGATTCATTGTTTGGGGCTTCAGCATTTTTGGATCTTCAGGGATTGGTCAGTGATTTCTGTCCCCCACCATGCCAATCTTCCAGAAGGCTGGTGCGGGCCACTGAAGGTGGAGAGGCCTCCCACATCCAAACTCAGAAAAAGTTTGAATGCTTTGCAAATAGTCAAGCAACTAAAACTGTTCCCTGTTTAGCTCCTATTACAGCCTGGCAAGGAAGGCCAGGACCTGAAGCTGGGCACCTCACTGAGCTACATGAGAGTGGCCATTTGTCAGGTCGTTCAGCCACTGCAGACGCTGTTTTGAGTGTTGCTTGTGTGGTGCTGTGCTGGGCATCTCAGAAGCTCCATGAGCATCTCCTGTTGTGTCTTCTGTCTTCCTGAGTTGGATTGTGGCCTGTAGTCTGGCTGCCACGAGCTCCAGGCCTCACTGTTGGAAGATACCATCCTGCAAGCCTTTGTTTTTCTGTATTTTAAAACACTGGACACTGCTTCGGGTGAGGTAAATGACCATTTGTGGCCTCAGTGACTCTCTGTTTTCCCTGTTATTTTTTTTTTTTTTAAGATTTATTTATTTGTGCACACAGAACTGGGATACAGGCCAGAGATGCAGGGGTAGTGAGAGGCTTCACCAGAGACAGAGTGGGAAGCAGAACAGGCAGATCAACGAAGTACATTGCTGAGGGGAGCAGTGGGCGGGTCAGGAGAGGTCTGCCACGCCATGTGGGTCACTCGGGAATCGAACTCATGCGGAAGTGGCTTTAGCTTCTTGTGCTAAAGGTTTAACCCACTGCACCACCTGGGAGGGCCCAGTTTTCCCTGGTTTTCTAAATAAATCCCATTGTACTCTGAACTTGACTGGTCTTGCAATTGTGTTCATGGGTAAAGACAGTGACTGGTAAATTCTTTGGGCACTGACCTTGGCCAGTTTTAGTGCCCCCTGCTGCCCTCTATCAGGCCCAACCTAGCTTTCTGAAAAGGAAAGCATCTTTCTGTCCAGGCAACAGGACACATGTACAGCTGCTGCTCAGAGACAACCAGGCACTTCCTCTTGGGCTTACGCAGCTCCACCTGGGTCTTGAAGGGACATCTGGGCTAGAGCGAGGGCTGGTGCAGCTCTCCACCTTGAAGCCTCTGTGCACGCAGGCTGGGTTCTGATTTATCCTGTGCCTCAGAAAGAACGTTGGGGCCCTGTACAACAGGAATCATGACTCCTGGGCCCCTTCCCCATAAGAGTTGCTGGGGTGGCTAATGATATAATGGAAGGGAAAGCCCTTTGAGAA